GTGGATTCATCCCTTTAAACCGTTTTTAGCACCAACTGATAACTTCTAAATTTATTTATTTATGTGACCTCAAAGTGTACCAAGTTTCATTAAAATCAGAATTTGACACTTCGCGAGGTTTCCTTGTGAGAGTTCAGTTAACTATATATATAAGTATAACTTTCAAAGTATTTTAGTTCCTATAACCCTTTTGAATTGATGGGCGAAAATGATCATAATTATTATGTTGTGGCGACAGTAATTTTTTTTTTTCCATGTAGGTCATTCTTCTGCTGGAAGGAAAAGCTCACGCGTACGTGTTCGCCAGTCGCGGATGCAAAAGGTGGGACACCTGCGCGCCCGAAGCCGTTCTTCATGCAATCGGTGGCGTTTTAACTGATCTTCACGGCGAACGCTATTCTTACGATCAGGAAACGACGCGTGTAAATGCGAGGGGCATACTGGCCACTGCGCCCGGCCAGTCGCATCAGTGGTACTTAAGTCGTATACCTGATGAAGTAAAGCAAAGTTTACAATAGGCGATCTGCATGTTCGTTTTTAAACAGGCATCGTCTAACGAATAACTTGCTTGAATAAAAAAAAGAAAAACGTTGGATTTACATTATTCAATCGTGATATATCCATGCATCTCTTGAAAATTTTAGTAATTATCTTTCGAGCGTGCAATATAAATGCATTCCGTACAATTTTATACTTTTCCATATTTTCTTTTAATATGATTCCGATTTATTTAAGAAAAGCGCAAAGGCGGTTCAATCTCGTATGTAAATAATCGTGAAATAATAAAATTACACATAGAAAAATTTCTAGGAGAACAGATTTAATTATTTTACTCCTATTTTACTCAATCTTTTTACAATAATAAAAAATAATATTTATATTTACGAAATTAATTTTGTTGCACTGAATAAAAAAAATCGGAGCATTATGTGCATAATTTGTTACGTAATGAAAAAAAAGTTTAGCAGTATTATCAGCAGATCCGTGCTTCAGAGGGTCATCGTTAGCAGATTAAAGGCCAATAAATAAGTGAGGAAATAACTAACACTGACGCACCGTAATCATTCCGGTTTTTCCGTCAAGTATTTTAAGTAGAAGGGAGAATAAAAGGCTCTACGAGGAGCCTTGGTAAGGCAGTATGCGACTACGTGTCGCGCATCCAGTTTAACGAAATCGATATATTCCGATTGGTGCTTGTCTTACTACCAAACAGACTGGTTGTCCTTCGGAAATCGTGTATGAAAGAGCGAAAGAGATAAAGGGACGATAGAAGGCGAGAGATTCGGAGTGTTGATCACGCATGTGATCAGAAATTTTACGAAGATAAGAAGAAGCCGATTAAGAATCAATTCGGGGACGGCAATTCGGTACAGAAATGGTGAAATATTTTCTATTTGCTAACTTGTTTTTTTCGGCGATATTCCTCACAAATGTTTGCGAGAATTATGCCGCTTATACTCCTCCGCGAGCCACGGTGCAGGCACTTCATCCCACGGGACTACGCATTTCTATTCCTGGTAAGATAATAAAAATTTTTATTTTTAATAATCCCAAGTATGCATCTGGATAATTCTGTTAATTTATATCGAACTGAAGGAAAATCTAATAATTTGTATTACCTCTGTTTTGAGACACTGCGCGCGCATCATCTGTCCAGCAAATAAATTATATATTGTAATCGAAATTGTTAGGATTGCATTTAATCGGGTTAACATTTTTTTTTCCTACAGACGAACATGGTATTACATTGGTAGCCTTTCATGTAAAATTCAATGAAGATTTTGATGGCTTGGAGGCTGGACATATTGCGAAAGACATTCTCAAGGTTCGCAACGGACAATGGACTTATCAAGATCGACACACTCAATTAAAGAGAGATGATATTGTCTATTACTGGGTTCACGTTGTATATCAGGGTCTAGGGTACAACTTGATTGATCAAATGCATCGAATTGTTGGTAAATTTTGTATAAATATAATACACATTTTTCTATTTGTATTTAACTAAAAATAATTTATTTTTTTCTATTAAGAACAAATCTCAAAAAGAACTAATCTTATAGCTGAACAATGCAATCTTATATTATTATTTATTTATGATTTAATTTAGTATATCTTTAAAGAAGTGATTCATTGTTGATATTAAAGCGTGCAATTGTTGGTAATTTTTTAAATTGTTATAATCCTTAAAATTTTGCTTTGATTTTCTATTTTCAGACTTTTACAATTACGACGGCACTCTGCATATCGACGTGACGGCTCAAAGTTCGCAGAACACTTGCGTGATTAAATCGATCACACACTTCTTGAAGGAGGAAACATCATCTGCAGAACAGCAAGCTTGTCCACATCAACTCATCTTTGAGGACAACTTTGATGAGCTTGATAGTGCAAAATGGAATAAATTGAACCAATTTGGCGGTCAGCCGGTACGTATTGCCGATAATAATAATAATTGATTTTAAAAAGGAAATTTAAAAGGTAGTTTTCGTTTAAAACTATTATTTTTATCGTCAGGATTATGAGTTTGTCGTCTATATGACCAATAATGTAACGGATACGAGCGATGGGAAGCTCCGCATTAAACCAGCCCTACTTAGTAATCGATTTTCGAACGACTTTGTATCTCAAGGGACCTTAACTCTGGACAGGTATATGTGGATAATTAGAATATTAGAAAAAAAAACAGGAGATTAAAGTCAAATTTAATTATATTCTTCCTTCAGTTGCACTGGCGATATTGATAAACAGGGTTGCCATCGCCAAGCTGCTGGGTTGTACATCTTACCCCCTGTGATTTCCGGACGTATTAATACAAAGGGGAAATTTAAGTTCCTCTTCGGGCGTGTCAAAATAAGAGCTAAATTGCCACGTGGCGATTGGATATATCCTGGTAAGTTTTATAACATTTTTTTTTACTATCGATTTCGTTTACTTGGGCTATTTATAAATGTGTGTTTTCTAGTGATAATATTAGAGACCGCCGAGAATGCATGGGAAATGGGACAGCATCGCGAGATTAGAATTGCATCTTCGGTGGGCAACGAAAACCTAACGACTTCTAACGGCGAGAACGTCAGCGGCCGTATACTGGTTGCGGGGGGACTGAGCGGCTCCTTGAGCGAGAGTAACGCGGACAGTACTAATCGCATGGCACTGCCAAGGAGAGTGTCGAACAAACTCTGGTCGGATGACTTCCATATCTTCGAAATCGTATGGAAACAAGGCGTTATTGTAGTGAAGGTCGACGGAGTGGAGTACGGCGAGCAAACTGTAGATGTATCGTTTAACACATGGGTATGAAATTGTATTATACTTTTCTTTTGTTAGCCCTAGGTGTACACACTGTTTTTTTTTACGTCACTGTAACTCTAGTAAAAATGAACATATTTTAATTAATTTTTTTTTCAATCGACAGAGAATCGAGCAAGAAACAAGTCCATAATGTTTAAAAGTCGATAGAATTAAGGAGCTCCAAGATATACGGGTTCAAAGAAAAAGGAAAGTTCAAAAACGCGAAAAAATCTCGATTTAGCATCTTTTTTTTTTTAAATCATATTTCTTTTGTTTATAGACCGATTTGAAAAATCTGAAAGGGCATACTTGAAATAGTGAAAAAATTTGGCGATTCGATATTTTAATTTTTTCAACAAACTGCAAGCAGTCCCGGGGACCTCACTCACTTCAACTGTTCACTGCTCGGTTGTTGAGCGACAATTGCCGCGCGTCAACACGTCTTCCTACTGAGGAGATCTCAAACTTTTTTTACGCCAATATCCCAAAACTTTTCCACTTCCAATTTCAGAAATGTCAAACCGAGAAAGTTTTGCTGGAGTCCCGGGAACCCCAGTGTGTATATCTAGGGTTAACAGAGACTCTTGTATCATTTGCATAATTTTACTGAATTTTATAATGATGCTGAAAATTCCATGCCGTTTATTGCAGTCATATTTAACTTTGGGCGTAGCTGTCGGAGGTAATCAGGAGTTTCAGGATTTCGTCACGAGCAAAGACTATGTCAAACCTTGGCGAAATGTCGAAGCGAAGGTATATTATTCGATAGAGCTAAGATTAAATTTTTTTTAAAACTTAAGGGACATTTGAGAAAGCTATACTCAATATGTCAACAATTTTGACAAATAAATGATATCAGTACATTATTCTTTTTTACAGGCGATGTATAATTTCTATCAAGCGAAGAATAATTGGCTTCGCACATGGAATCAAGAAACTACAGCGCTTCAAGTGGATTACGTGAAAGTGTGGGCACTGTAAATACTTTTACGTGCGTATATTTTTATACAATCTTAGATTCAATACGCGCGTCTTTTTCTTACAAAATAATGTACACATTCACAATAATAATCACATTTATATATAAATTTATATATAAATAATAAATGCATGCGGATTTGTACTTGATAATTATTTTTTATAGTCTAGAGTTTTGGCTATCCTACTACTAATTTAAGTTAACATACCGATTGTATTTGAGTGCACTCGCGCTGTTACGGATCGAATTACTTCCACTTCTAAAGGGAGTTAGAGGTGGCATTGGGAACGTACTAGGCACAGGTCTGTTGTTCAGTCGAATATCGGGACCAAGACCATCCCCCAACTGTTTGATGAGCCACTCGCCGCGATACCCGAAGCGCCGTTGATACGCTTTTGCAGCGCGTGGTCCATCCTCGGGTCTGAATTCGATGCGCATGGGCTCGTTCCCACTTACAAAAGACGCGAGACGTAACATACTCATGATACCATTCTTAGTCCATTCTTGGAATTGCAGTCGACTGGGCCAGAATTTCGGGAAGATCGAAACATCGGGCCGATTACTGAAGAGCGCTTGCGGCCATGCGGACAATGACGAGTCAAATGTCCTGGCATTCCGTGTCAACGTTCGATCGCTGCACCGTACGCTTGTCTATTCAGGGTAACAATATTATATGTTTTTTATTAACAGAAAAATTATAATTAATCAAACGAGTTGCCCTAGTTTGCAATACATAATTAAACTAACATTTTGATTGCAGGATCATTTAAGGGGAGATTTGGGACACTTTTGCCCGCCATAAAATTAGCTCTTTTTCATGAATTTTTTTAAGGAAATCTATTATATACAGTAAAACGCGGGTTTTTGCATAAACTTATGTATTATTTGAACAGCAAAAAAATATTTTTTATTTATATAAAAATGTATTTTAATGCCTTCAAGTGGCGATTGAATGTGGCATGTTTTTCGAGCTGACGGATAGTAATTACGAAAAAAACGAATTAAGATATCGACTTGATTCTTTTTTCCTCTTGATTCTAATACTTTAACGCATGGCCTGAACTAAAATGATGTCAATTGCCTGAAATTTGTAAAAATGGTAGCACACGCAAAAAAAATGACTTAGTAATAGTAGCTAAAATTTCAATAGCTGAATCAAACTTAAGGCCGAAGCACAGACTTTTGCATGACGCATAATGCATAACGCATAAAGGAATAAACCAATCAGAGTCCTCCATTTCCATCCCCACTCCTCACTTTGCGAATCTTGCATAACGCATAAAACATAATGCTTAACGTGATGAAAAATCCGTTAGCTATAAGAGCTATCGCCTTAGTGTCATTGCTAAGTTCTGGCTATTACAGATAAAAAACATTCACTGTGACAAAAAAATTTATTAACTGAAATTAAAAGAAATTAAATATATTAGTACAGGCAGCTAAAACGATCATGGCATGCGTACCTATAATGTCTTATTATGCAGACATTTAGTATACAGAGCTAAGTTTATAACTGCGCGCAAAAGTTGATTTGTAATTGTTGCAATGTGGCACTGCCATATGCATCATCTACAGCGCATTTAGCATTTATATTTTGCAGTATATAAGTTGTATACTGCAAATATTATTACTATAATATTGCGAAGATAAAATAACATAGTAGATTCGGCTAAATATCATTTGATTTTAGCAGCAAATATTTTTTGCTGCAGCATCTACATTTTAATAACTAATAAATTGAACTTCGACAGCAACGACATTAGCTGTCCCTATTTTAACGACACATCTTAGCTGCCATAGCTATATTTTAGCTTCATCGGCTAATTCTTTTTCTGCGTGCATTTGAAAAAAAAATTTTTTTGCCCTAAACATTTTAAAAATTTTTATTAATAACAAATTGAATGTTTGTTATAAAATCATGATTTTAGTTCACGCCATGCGTTGGAGTATTAGGATCAAGAGGAAAATAGAATCAAGTCGATATCTTAATTCGTTTTTTTCGTAATTACTTCCGTCAGCTCGAAAAACATGCCACATTCAATCGCCACTTGGAGGAATTAAAATATTTAAAATACATTTTTACATAAATAAAAAATATTTTTTTTGCTGTTCAAGTAATATATAAGTTTTTACAAAAACCCGTGTTTTACTGTATATAATAGATTTCCTTAAAAATTCATGAAACAAAAGCTAATTTTACGGTCGGCAAAGGTGAAACCTCCCTTAATAGAAAATATAAATAAAAATACAATTACAGGATAAAATTAAAATTCGTTTAATTGAATCAGAGAGAAGCAAATAAACATATCTTTCTAATTGCTTAATATAGATTACTTACCGCGTAAAGGAAGATTATTAAAAGTACTTTATCAACGTGCATAACTTGTTAAAATGATGCTCATTTTGCGGAAGCCACTTGTTAGAAAATAATGAACGACTGGCTGCTTCGTGCCTTGGCTTTTATGCCCTCCTGTCCCATGCCTCGCAGGAAATTCGTGATTCGCATCAAGTATCGATTCGTGAGTAAACCGATTGTTATTCACGACAGGATCGAACGTGACTTTTTAAACTCTCGCGCGCCGTTAAGCGCGCGATCGAGTTTTTACTTTCACTGCCGGTATTACTGCGAACAGTTTCATGTATAAGCGTACTGGATTACTGAATGTTTCAGAATACTGTAGTATTCCGTGTCGATATAGCAATATCGTTCCTAGAGTGAACTGAGCCATGTGTCAGAACCAACTATTGGTAGGTTTGATATAAAAAATTTACAAGAAATTAAACGCAATCTCAAGTGATAACTGTGATAAGAATTTTAAAGTTCTTGAAGAAAAAAAAATATATGTGTATCACAAAGTATCTAAAATAATTTAATTTAGTGATGTTGTGATAATAAATTATTAGTAACAATAATTTATTATCACTTAACACCAATATGTAATATCTTAAATATGATTAAATTCCTTTGCGCACATTGCGAATAATACATATATAAAATCACAACAATCTCAATTATTCGTTTTTTAAAATAATCTTTTTACTTTCTACGTGCATGTTATTATAGATCACTGTGCTGATGACATTATTGCTTCATGGTGAAATTATTGTGCCAATCGCAGATGCCACGGCCTACAGGATCCTGCATGATTTTATTCAATATAACGTCGCAGGCATACCTATTCTGCATGAGGTAAATGCATATAATATATAGATTGACAGCTGAGCTTTGCACCCTTCAATTATTTCTTTTACTTACATTTTTATTCAGAAAACAAAGTGGAACTTTGATCCAGAGGTTGGCAAGCAAAGAAGGATTCAATATGAGCAAGATAACGGACGTTACGGGGAATATGCGATAGCAAAATTAGGAATGGGCATTGGTTACAAAGGTTCTTGGGGATTACCAGTGCAAAGTTGAAATATTAAACTATGTCGAATAAATATGTGATATTCTTTAACATGACATAAAAGTTTTATTGACTTGACGTATGTTTAAACGAGTTCGATGTAAACATTATAATTTACTGTAATAAATATATTTAAAAAAAATCAAAATTTGGATTATAATATAAATCAATAATATTCACGAGGTAATGTGATTCAATAGCATTATCAGTAATGACAAGTGTGCACAAATTTAAAGATAAGTGAGTTTTCTTCTCTTAGCACGCGGATTTTGACAGATTATTTCCACCAATATTTCATTTTGATTAAATATAATTTGCATTTTATTAGAATAAATATATATAAATGTAACAATACATGTTAATACGTTTTAATTACTTAATGCAAACTCAAAGTAATTAAAAATAATTTTTAAAAACATGATTTCTCCTTGATACTCTTGCATTTTCTTAATATTTTAGCACGCACAATTTGCAATCGAGAAACTATTACTTTAGGTACTTTCAAAACGCATATTTTCGGATATTGCGAAAATTCATGGCCGATGTTTAAGGTGAAGCAATCTATGTGTATGTAGCACAGCGTATCTCAGAACTTTCACTTTACGGGGAATTGGAATGGTAGGGGTACGAAGAAATTTAGACTGAGTTCCGACGCGAATCTAGAACGGTGTATAACGAATTGGTCAATATTATCTTGTGTTATTTGTTAAATCTATTTGGCTAACTCGACTAATAATTTGTCCCAGAAGAAACTTTTATTTCGTATTACTTTTATAAATTTGTTGTACTACTAATCGAGAGAATATTTCACCTCTGGTCGTTTACCATGGCGAGTTTTACTTCCGTAAGTAAGAAATGACATTTTTTAATAAGAAATTCTGTAAATGAGAAATGATATTAATAAACTGCAAACATAATCTTTTGTAATCTAATAAGTAATATAATTTATTTTTCTTGAATATCGAATAAACCTCCTGAAAATTTAATTAACAGCCGCTATCTAGAAAACTTTCTAATTGCTAAGTTTCAACGCATTGCGTCTCAATTTCTCTTGAAGCTCTGCTCATTAATATTTAGCAAGTACAGTTGTTTTGTAAAGAAATATTTGTTAAGTGAAAAATAAGGTAAATTGTTTTTTTGCTTCATTATCCTTTGAAATCTTGTTTTCTATTTGTAGTGGCTGATGATCACGTTAACAATATTCGCCATTTTTTTTCTCGCTCTAAATGATGAAAGTACAGCTGTAATCGTGGAACCCCAAGCACCCAATTTCCAATATTTCGAACGGTAAGTGAAGCAAATATCTTGATATTTAACTATAGAATTATTTAAAAAAATTAATCAGCATTCACTTTGGTATTAAATATTTGTACGACATTCCGATTGTTCGGTTAGAACGCAGTAATCTCCTGGAAAAAAAAACCTTTTCACCAAAGAACGTCAAATAGTATCGTAATTGTCATCTTTACTCTTTTAGGCCGAAGTATCGCTATCCTTATTACGATGAAAATGGTAAAGGAAAGCTGTTATACGGCTACGGTGGACCAGAATTGTATCAATATAAAACTTACAGTGTCCTTGAAGGGATTCATTAAAAGATGATTTTGTTTAAATTTTTAGAAAATTGAATATAAAAAATATTTGCATACATATAACGTAACATGTACCAACATCATATGTTGTGATCAATTCATTAATATATATACTCATGAGAAAATATTAATACGAATTAATATATCTGTATAATGCAACACACGAGTATCTTTTCGATGGCACAATTGAACTGTTACAATTGTATGTCACTCGAATATAAATTAGCTGCTGTGCTATTTGGAGAAATGCATCATATTCTCGTTGTCAGTGCAATTTGCATTATGTTATCCTGCCATCGAAAAGATACGTTCACAAAATCGTGGAATTAATAAGGAACATTGTAGGAGCATTTATTTTCGTCGATTACAACTGTATGTTAAATGCAATCGATTTGTATGGCTGGTTTTCCTTACAATACGCTTATCTCTGTCTTGTTCTTACTCGGTAAAATGCTGCATGACTCGCTTCTCCTCTAGCGTGAACGGACTGACAATGAATGAACAAATGAATAAAATCGATACCTCTTTGTTGAGTGAGGCGTAAAATCTGTTACAATATTTAGAAAAAGGTGTAAGATAGAATGATTACGATTCAGTGCGAACATTACTATGGACTGCAGTCTCTAAGAGAGAGAGAGAGACTATATTACAGATAGAATATATCGTTAAAAGTCATTGATCTATCAAACGTGCATGTGGAATGTGCAGTAGCCACGCTAACACTGTGAAATGTGGTGGACTTACAGTCTGAATAGGGACAATAATGAAATTAGTCTAATAGCTATAGTCTATGTAACCTACTGCTACAATCGCCCGAAATGTTTTCTTTTGTCACTTTTCTCTTCTACGTGCACAATGTGCTGGGAAAAATAGAATCGACAATCTGTAAATAGTAAAAAAAACTGCAGTCACACTGCGCAATCGATACATTGGAACTGTTATCGAAAGGATATTATTATTATTATTATTATTCTATTTTGTGATAGAGGTGCCACGTGACGAAGTTACGAACGTGCAAGCACAGTCGAGTAGACGTGAGTTAGCGAGACGTGTATAATGTGTCAGTTATAAACGAACGCGATCGACTGCATACACTGACGCCCAGCGATAATTGATGCGCTTATTCATTATGATGTTTGTCCGCCTTGCTCTCGCCGGCAGACTGTAACTGTCATACAAAGTCCATTTCGAACTTGTTATAATACTGGCCATTGACGCGACGTCTCTGCAATTGTCTCTCGATAAACTTCTTTATTTCGCTGATGACGAAGACGCTCGATGTCAACGCCGCCAGGAATAGAAGATCTGAAAATTAAAAGTAAACATTGTTATGCAAGAAGTGTAATTAGCGACTGTCTTTAAAGGGAGTACGCTATACCTTTTGCCGTGAGAGCCTCAGTCTGAAATATTCTCTGCAACGGAGGAAAGTAGATCACGAACATTTGTCCGATAACAGAGAGCGTTACGGCTACCAGGAACATTTTATTACTCCACAGACCGATCGTGAATATGGATTTCGTCTGAAACAAACGGATATTTTCAGGCTGTGGCAATATTTTTTTTCCCGATATAAGAACTGAAATAAAAATATGAAATCTCACCTGTGATCTACAGCTAAGAGCGTTGAACATGTCGAAGAATACGAAGCAAGTAAATGTCATGGTAGTATCTCTCGCGGTATTTCCATTAACCATCTGGAAATCAAGCATATATATATATATATATATATATATATATATATATATGAGAGGAAATTGCAGATTTATTTAAAGACATTACCTCTCTGTTGTACACCCATAAAGTGCCAAGAATGATGATGCTAGCGGATAGTAAGACGTTAATTATGAGATGACGCGTAATCATTGGCTCCTTTGTATTTCGAGGCTTTTGCTTCAGAACGTCCTTGTCAACAGGTTCCACTCCAAGACTGTGTACAGAAAAGAAAACGAAAATTAATGCATACACGTTAAAAATTTGCACAATGAATATTTTAATAAAATATTAAATCGAAATTTTACTTATTTAAAGGGGTCACCTTTGAGACTCTAAAATAATACCCAAGTTTGGGATTTTTTCTCGGTAAACAGATAACTTTATTAAAAAATAACTTTAAGGACATTGTTGTACATATAAAAATATATATTTTTATTATATTAAATATATATTAAAAATATATATTTTTATTTTTTTAATGTTCAAAATGGTGGCACACTGGCCTACTTGCCAAATGCCTTTTTTTCTAAATTTTGAAATCGGTGTACAAGATTGCAGGCACACAGTTTGACTTTAAACAAAATACAAAGAATTTTCATTGTCTACATATTAAAAACTATGAAAGTACGTAGAGATTTTTCTAAATATCGATTTTTCTCGAAATGGCAGCTATTTTACGAACAATTTTTCGCCAGTACAAGTCTCTCTTAAAACACTTCCAAAGTTTTTAATATGTAGAATAAATATTCTTTGTGTTTTGTTCAAGGTCAAACCGTGTATCTGAAATCCTGTAAACCGATGAAAAAAAAAAAAAAAAAAAGGATTTCGCAAGTGTAGGCCAGTGCGCCGCCATTTTGGACTTGAGAAAAATAAAAAAAATTTTTTCTTTAGTTTCTTATATATGTACAATAATGTCCTCTAAGCAGATTTTAAATAAAATTATTCATTTACCAACAAAAAATTCCAAACTTTAGGTATCGTTCTAAAACCTTAAAGGTTGCTGACCCCTTAACTCACCTTTGAGCGGGGGGACCATCCATAATGATGTTGATCCACAGTATTTGCATAGCGTTCAAAGGATTCGGTATACTCATCAATGTCGCAAGAGCGATCAGAGAAAGCGCGGCTATGCTAGTGCTCAATTGAAATCTGACAAAATTGCGAATGTTGTGAAAGATTCCTTTTCCCTCCTCGATCGCCGCGCTAAAACAAAAAACAACAAAAAATAATCAATAAATGTCACATACCGATTTACATATTTTAAAATTGTTAGGCAATATATTATTTACATAATAGTCGCGAAATCGTCGTCGACTAAAATCATATCGGCCGCTTCCTTGCATACGTCAGTCCCATTTTTACCCATAGCAATGCCTATATCGGCCTTCTTCAACGCAACCCCGTCGTTCACACCGTCGCCGGTCATACCCACTATGTTGCCGTTCCTCTGTAAGGCTTTTATGATACAAAGTTTGTGCTTTGGTGTTACTCGATAAAATACACTAACGCTATTAATGCACTGTTCCAATTGATGCTCGGACATCATATCGATCTCGTCTCCCGATAACAGCCGACTGTGAAGTATATCCAAGCCAATCATGCTAGCTGAAAAATAATTAAATTCCCCATAACTTTGAGATCGCAGAGAAATTTGTATCTATTGTATTATATATATAAAAAATGTTATAATTCTTTATATGTGTGTGTGATATATTTATTTATGTACCTATCGCAGCTGCAGTTTCCTTTGCATCACCAGTCACCATCTTCACCTTAACACCGCTGTTTACCAGAATGCTGATAGATTCGCGCACATATGGTCTTGGTGGGTCACAAATACCAACCAGGCCGATGTAAATTAAATCTTGTAACGAAGAGCCACGTGCTAGACCAATCACTGTAATCAAATTGAGCATAAAAAATTACAGAAAGATCAAATTATAAATTAACAATATAAAATTTAAGCTCGTCCTTGCGATAACAATAAATAATGTAACAAATTCGGCCACACTAACGAGCACTTTCTAACGAGGATGATAGCGTTTATTAATCTTGTAATATAATTGTTTTTTTATTTTTTTTATTAATGTTTTTATTAATGGTTTTGCGGCCAAAGAAGACTAAGTCGAAACACGTACCGCTTCTTAAATTTTACATTACAAGATTAATAAACGCTGTCATCCTCGTTAGAAAGTGCTCGTTAGTGTGGCCCAATTTATTACATTATTTATTAAAATTATAAAATTCATTTTTTATTTTATTATCTTAAAAAAGATGATAATAATACCTCGCAACCCCTGTTGACCAATATCATATGCCTCTGTCAAGAATTCCTGATCTTTCTTCTGACTAAGGGGATACACTTGACCATTCTCGTAATACTTTGTACATTGCGGCAAGATTTTTTCCAAAGCACCTTTTACAAAGTATACCTCTTGTCTGTTCTGAAATACAAAATTATGATACATGTAGAGATGTAAATAGAAAAAAAAACCAAATTGTTTTTTTTATAAAGTATGTTTTTTTTTAAGAAAAAAATATGACTTTCAAAATTTTGTTTTTTTTTCCCGCTATCTATTTAATAACTATATTTTACTTTATGTAAGTTAATTTGTCATGATTTTTTATTTTATAGATAGTAGATTTAAATTATCATCATTTTAACCTTTACGCAGAACGAAAAAACCAGTATATTGATTCTGAAACATATATTGAAACAAGGACTTCAATGAATAATTATAATAAATTCTACTTAAGGAAAGCTGTTTAGAAAAAGAATTAAAAGATTCTTCTTTTGTAAAAGTTAATAGTTAGATCACATTAAAATTAATTATATAATTACTATTTACAATTAATTAGTCATGCTATCGGAATTAGACAAAAAAAAACTAAATTTGTATTTTTTAAATGAAATAAAACACATTTTTTTCTAATATTTTTTTTCTGTTAGAAAAAAACGTTTTTTTTTTACATCTCTAGGCATATGTATGTACTCTTGATCCCAAATAAATAAAATCCCAAATCATCCCAAAATAAATAAAAAAATCTACTTATTACCAGTGGCCCATCGCCTTTAAATTTACCTCACCAAACTTCGGTGTACATTTCACAGCCATCATCTTTTGTTCGGAAGAAAATGGATATTCTTGCAATCGCAAATATCTATCAGCGACACCATACATTCCGAATTTCATTGCCACTGCTATCAGCGCGCCTTCCGTCGGTTGTCCCAGCAAAATGTCATTCTGTACGATAGCGTTATTGCACACGCAACCTATTTCCAGCATATTACTGATAGCAGAGTGTGCGAGATCAGGACTATCACACTTCCGTATGTGTACTTCTCCCACACCGTTATATCCTGCTCCAGTAACATCCGCGATGTAACCCTCCGACGTAACGAGAATCGTGGCGGTCATCTCGTTCTTCGTGATCGTTCCGGTTTTATCAGAACATATCACATTTACGCAGCCTATAAAATGAAATAAAGTCGTTATGTTTGAATTTACATAAGAGATTGAAAAAAATACTTTCAAAGGTATCTTAACACTTTAAAAGATAATTTAAAAGAAAAGTAAGAAATTTCTTTTTAATAAAATAAATATTTCATATTTTCGTGAATGTCTTTAACTTACCGAGAGTCTCAACGGTTGGTAACTTCTTTACAATTGCTTTTCTCTTAACCATTCTCATCACTCCCAGTGCTAGTGTCACAGTCACGACGATAGGCAAGCCTTCCGGTATAGCTGCTACTGCCAAGCTTACACCAATGGTAAACATCTCAAGGATAGCCTTACCTTGGATCCAGCCCAGCAGCATGATGATACCGATAATGCAGAACGAATAAAAGGACAGCTGAGTACCTAAAATGTCCATGCTTCGCTGTAGTGGAGTCTTTGGTGCCTCCTCAGCTTGCATCATCGAGAAAACCTCCCCAAATTCACTCTTTTCTCCCGTATTCACTACAATTCCCTGTATCGCGCGATATTGTAACATAAGTTGATGGTAAAGCGCAATCATTCCCAAGGATTATATTTTATATATATATATATGTACAGTTTGAACAGAATTTACCTTGCCGTTTCCACAGCGTACTAAAGTGCCCATGAAGGCAATATTTCTCTTTGACGTCAACCCATTAGTCTTAAGCAAAGGGGCCGTCGACTTTTGCGCCGGTTCGGTCTCCCCAGTAAAGCTACTCTCGTCAATCGCCAGATCTATAGCTTCGAATATTCTGATATCGGCAGGTACTCTGTCTCCAATATTTAAATACACTATATCACCAGGAACTAAATTACGCGCGAGAAATGTCTCTACATGGCCCTCCCTTAAGCTGGAAATAAAATATCGGGATGCAGTAGTAATGTAAAAGTATCTCAACGCAATTAGATAAAATTTTTAAGCATTTTTAGCAAAGTAGAGTAAAAATAAAACTTTGATAGAGAAAAGTTTTTGGCAATTATGTTCTTAGTCGGGATTTCTTTAATCGTAAAATATAGGACTTTGTGAATTTTAATTGTAAAATATAGGACTTGGTAAAATTTCATAGAAGTAAGTTTCACCTTCTACAGAGGGCAACGACATATTATATCTTCTTCGTTAAGAAGGGAAAGGAATGCTTGCACGTACAAAGGGTTAGTATATCCTCCCATAGGGACCATATTTCTAAAGAATTGTAAATTTCGATACATGCTGCCTCAAGATTGGACTGATATTCATTATTGTTACATTACACTGTGTACAGCGTGTAATTAATGAAGCATCTAACAAGAAGCACAAATCTATTTACCAGTGGCATATTGGTGGTACCAATTTATTCAATTCCTCTAAAGATTTCTCCGATCGGTATTCCTGTACAAATGCAACTGTCACCACTATTATGATAGCCTACAAAGGATATCACAAACATAAGCGTTGGTTATAGGTGATGCCTGCCAAAATTCGTGGAAATTGACGGAACGTTTGAATTTACTCACCACAGTAATACTGACGGCGTCGTCGAATTGCTTCATGCATATACTGACGAATGCAGAGGCGAGTAGGAGAAGAATCAATGGATTCTTGAACTGAAAGGTATATATACATTCAGAGTCCGACTGTGTACAAATACATCTAAATTGTATTGCAATCTTGCAACATTGTGTTTACAACTGTCTGTATGTATATTAGAAAAACTATGTATATGAGAAAACAAGCTGAGGGAGGGGGGCAAACTCGTACCTGTTCGATGTATTTCTTCCATGGTGGATCCTCCTCCTTTACGGTGAACTCATTGAAGCCTGCCAGTTGCCTTCTATGGTCGGCCTCTTGCCATCTGAGCCCCGTTCGCACGTCAACATGTAATCTGGCTGCTACCTCCTCCGCTCCGAGACTGGCCGATTCGGCGGTTGTCAACCACATTTCTTGTTCTTTACCCTTAAAAAACATTATCGCATTAAACTACTTGCACAAATGTGTCAAACCCATATATTACATTCATAGAATATATGTAAAAAATAAAACGTTAAATTTAGTTAAGCACATCTCAGTTTTTTTTTTCTCAACTAATCGAATAAACAGCGTTATGATAACTCATTTATTGTAATTACAATAAAACATATATATATATTTTTTTCTTTTTACTCCACCGGCTGGTGGATACAACATTATATACACGTGCTTCGGTTAATGTTGTCCTTCGCCAATCTCTTTCACCGTCATAATAACACCGAATTGGCATACCTTGCGCGTTATGTCATTGCCGCAATTATGTGTAAAAAAATAAAAATGTGCAGACAGAACGTTCGAAAAAGATAAGAGGCAGCAAATAAAAAGAGCAGAAGAGCTTATCGATCGAAATTCAACAAAGATGCATGTCGAGGCGAAATAACGCGAATGCGCGAATGTTAACCTCGCGACGGTAGTCCGATCGATTTGTCAAACATTTCCGAACGGACATCGGGGGACGACGATTCGAGGATGAGATCACGAAGTAAGGTTGGCGAGACGGCAAGACATGTCAAATAAGTAGGAAAACGCGTTCGCTCGCGCGCGATTTCGCCACGTAAACGGGATCGCGCACGGCGAGCGGACTCGCGAGCGACGAACGCGAGACGCGCCGCTGGGGACTGAAGCGCTGAAGGTGACGGTTAAGCAGGTTAAGCTGTCAGTCGAAATCCAATGTCAACGGCGATCTTATCGCAAAAAAAAAAAAAAAAGTAAATCTCAATTCCCGCATTTTCTCTCTTTCGCTCTTCACCGTCTAACTCCAATTTCCTGCAAAATCAATGTGTCCCGTGCCACACGCATCGTATGTACGCATATATGTACATCAGCATGTGTATATACACCTCGTGCACGCGCCAGGGGCTCTCAGCTTCTTCACACGCACGGGAAATTCCACGAAGGGTATAATGAATCCGCAAGAAGCGCAGCTGAAAGCCAAAAACTTCACGTTGGGAGACAGAAATCCTCCTGAGAGAAATGATTAATAAGACTCGACCATATGATATTATATGAATATACGCGGTTGTGTTTGCGCTTCGTTTCGATTTATCGTGAATTTCTGTTTACATTACAATTACGTACGCGATATCATTACAGTTCCATAGCGCAAGCGTGTGGCTGCATTTTTTTTTCACTTGAATATATATACCGCGGGACATATATACATTTATATATCTTGCTGCAAGCAACGAGAAGAGGCAGAATGAGGAAAGCGAGGAAGGCAATCGGGTTAATATATATTATTTAAACATTCTCGAGATAGGCCGTTATTTACTGATGCAAACGTGACGTTTCGCGTCATTATATATATATATATATATATAATCAGAGTTGGGTATAGTGGCTAGTTAAAAAGATAAAAGTTAAAAAGTTAATTTTAACTTAACTTACAAGGGAACCTCGCGAAGTGTCAAATTCTGATTTTAATGAAACTTGGTACACTTTGAGGTCACATAAATAGATGAATTTATAAATTATTAGTTGGTGCTAAAAAACAGTTTAAAGGGATGAATCCACCCCTTATATGTAAA